TATTTACCCGTGTTGGTTCCTTAATGTGTTGCGTAAGAAAGCAATCGTCAATTAATTCTAGAAAATCTGCTTCACTATTCCCAGTTTTGTTCAACCAGTTTATTCCACTAAAATTAAAGTCACCCATGACGTAAATACTGTTAGATCTAGATGCCCTAGATATTTCATCCCATAGATGCTTTGCTTCCATTCTGTCTAAATTTGGTGGCCTATATATAACTCCTATTATAATATTATTTGCTTTTTCGTATAATTCTATCCAAATAGTTTCTGTGTGTGGCTCAGTTTTGATTCCCTCTTTGAGACTACATTTCAAATTGTCCCTAACATATATGACTACTCCCCCTCCTCGTCTAATATATCTATCTGTGTGAAATAGTTTAAATCCATTTATTTGATATTCAGCTAATAGTTCTCTATTTTCTACATTCATCCACGTTTCGGTAAGTGCAATAATATCTATTTTTTTCTGTGCAGACAAGAGCATTTAATTCGTTAATTTTATTTCTTAGACTTCTACTGTTAGTGTAATATACCCTAAGTGAATTGTCATTTTGAGGCCCTTCTTTTTCCCTGATCATTTTGCCAATTCCTTTCTCCCACAAACACATACTTTTATTACCTCCTTCTTCCAAATCAATTCCCATACCTCTATCTACTAACAGTTTAAACCCAAACAAACACCTCTAACCACTTCTTCCAACGAGTTCCGGACAGCAACAACCCCAGCTCTCGATAGATGCCCCCCATCACGAGCATACATTTCATTTCTTCCATAGAAGTGTTCCCAGTTGTCTATGAAAGATATTGCATTTGATTTGCAATATCTTTCCAGCCGGCAATTGTCACCAAGTGCCCTCGATATCCATTCATTTCCTACTCCCTTTCTTGGAAGAATGCCACATATGATCGGGATTCCTTCCTTGCTCCTAACTAATTCAATGGCTGTCCTGAATCTCTGTATTAGTTCCTCACTCCTAACTCGTCCAACATCATTACCCCCTGCACTAATACAAATAATGGGTTTGTTTCCATTTCCTGTCATAATATCATTCATGTTTCCAACAATATCACCAATTCCAGCTCCCGGATAGCAAACCCTTAATCTGTTCCCCCTATCTCTGGCACAAAACGTTCTGTCTAAATACCTCACCTGGGAATCTCCCACAACCAAAATTCGCTTCGATTCTCCCTTTTCCTTTCGAGCAGTTTGAGGGACCTGCGCTTCAATGCTCCTCGTTACTTTGTCTTTGCCACCTCGTTGAACAACAGGTTCAACACAGCACTCGTCCTCTAATACGTCAAATGCGTTAAAAGTCCTTAGGTGTAGGCTATTAGTTGTCGGTTTTGCCAAGGTCTTCTTAAGACCCCTGTCTTTCACAACTTGCCAAGACGAGGTCTTCTTAATACTGGTCCCGTCAGTCCTCCTTAATGAGGTCCCGTCAATACTGGCCTCCTCCTTCGTATCCTCCCGAAGTCGTAGCCGTCGTACCTCCTCCCGCAGGGAATCCATCTCTGCTCTCAGAGCTCCAACCAGACTCACCAAATCTTTTACTAATCCTTCCATTATTGCAATAATAATGTTATTAGAATCGGAGCTCCAGCTAACACAACCTCTCACTGTGACTGCACCTGACTGAAGCTGGAGGTAACTCAGAAGGACAGGCAGTAACACACGGAGGGGCATGCAGTAACACAAAGAGGCAGGCAGTAACACAGAGGGACAAGTAATAACACTGAGGACAATCAGATGACTACCATATATGTATGTAATATTCAAGCATTTGCGTAAACTACCTGTTATATGACGATATATTAGGTAGGCAGATGACTTCACTGCATCATGGGAGGTGCTGCAATATATCACAAGCAAAAGATCAGTAAACTAACCGTAGTTTTAGTTTGTATATTTCTCGGCGAATCTTGAGAAAAATACTGTAACCAGACCTCCACGCAACATCCAGAGGGTTACTGGAGCATTCTTCGCTTTCACTAAACATTAACTTGATGAATCAAGTGAAGGTTTGTTTGTATCTTAATTTTGTGTTCCCGAGAAAGTGACATTAAGATGAATTATGAAATATATAGTTTACAATTAGTGACACTAACAAATTCATTATTACTTAAACAACGGTCTATTTATGCAAAATGTTGTCTCACTTTAGTGAAAAGCTTCTGAGTAGTAAGCTAAAAATATAAACGTAAAGTATTAAAGAAAATTTCTATTCATGTTTTTGTGGTGAATTGGTAGAGAAAAATCTACCAGCACATCAGACACCATCTATAGATACTTGAGCGGTATTGTGCTTCGCTGCTTCAGTGTGAATAACATTACTGAGAGAAAAAGTAGAAAAGTATGAGTGCGTTAAGAGCGGTAATGGAGCTGGATGCTTAAGTGGTTCAGGATCACTTGAGGACACGAGTTTCGAGTCCAACAGAGGGATGAGTTGGACAGTGTATGATACACAAGGATGGGTTGGACAGTGTCTGATACACCAGGATGGGTTGGACAGTGTCTGATACACCAGGATGGGTTGGACAGTATCTGATACACCAGGATGGGTTGGGCAGTATCTGATACACCAGGATGGGTTGGACAGTGTCTGATACACCAGGATGGGTTGGACAGTATCTGATACACCAGGATGGGTTGGACAGTGTCTGATACACCAGGATGGGATGGACAGTATCTGATACACCAGGATGGGTTGGACAGTATCTGATACACCAGGATGGGTTGGACAGTATCTGATTCAGATATTTTGTTATTTATTTTCAAATGGATGAAAGCGATTGTGATTTAAAAGCATTATTGACCCAGGTGTGATTGTGTGCCCCTCCTCGCCCAAGGGGCGCCTCCTCGCCAGTGGGGCACCTTCTCGCCCGAGGGGTGCCTTCTCGACCGGGAGGCTCCGCCTTGCCCGAAGGGGCGCCTTCTCACCCGAGGGGCGCCTCCTCGTCCGGGCGTTTTCGTCAGAAATGTTGGTGATGTATGCTCATGCTGCATGAGCAACCGCTTCACAGCCTTGGGGGAGCCCAAATCCTAGCTGAATTGGTTTCAGCAATTCAGCCGCTTGATGGCTGACAACCCCTCGTGGCAGCGTTGGCAACCAGGCATCGGAGGGTGTTACCAACTGCGATCTTGTGCAGCATCACCAACCGCAGGATTTAACATTTGCTTGATGTGCTGAGGTTTTAATCCGGCAAAGCCGCCTGCTGACCCAGGTGGAAAAGAAAAAGCTGCTTTGTGTATCTCAGATTCACCAACAGTTAATGGGTCTGAACTGATCTCGGCTGGTGGCGCTACGATGTTGTCGTCTCGTGGGGTTCTGGGTTGAACCCCACGAGCAAACAGGGCACGAGCCCTGTTTGCATAGGTTCTTGCTCACTAAGGCATTGTTTCAGGAATTTAAGGCGGGTGCGAGTGCAGTGTGCTTTCACTAGTAGAGTAGCAAAGATGGTCACGAAGGAAGCAGTCTGAGAGAACAGTATAGCGAAAGAGCGCGTGGTTCTCATTATGTGTGTAAATAACGAAAGTTAACATGTGATGAAAAATGTGACAGTGTCAGACCATGAAGGAAGAATTGAAACAGGAATTTCCTTAAGTACTTTCGTATTTAATAATACATCTTCAGAAGGATGAGTTACATGGCAATAGATTTGGACATATATAGGCAGGAGAGAGGTGAAGTAAAGTGAGGTACAGTGACACATATATGGATGGGATTGGGTGAATATTAATAGGAGCCGCATCGTATTGGCCAATAGGCCCATACGTGGATATTAATATCATAAGATAGTAGATATTAACACGGTATTAGTGAGACAAATGTGTATCAATGATCCTACTCAAATAGCCCTCTAACTGATCAAACAAAACTGTATCTAAATTATTCAAACCACTGCTAATGTTCATATTATTTGATTTTGAAATCTGTATTAAAGCAGATTCAATTATGTTTCTATTGAAAGTGTTTTACAATTCGTTATTGAAGAAGCCATCTCCCAATAAATTTGATGAGAATTTTCTGACAAATGAACAAACAAAGCATTAGACAATTGGCCATGTCCTACAAAGTATTTATGTTGCAAAATTCTACATTTCAAATCTTTATATGTTTGCCCAACATAGAACCTGTTACAGTCTTTACAAGGTATTTTATAAATGACACAATTATTACTATGAGGACTATTTCTAACTAATAGTTTTACAACAATATTTTCGTAATTAAACAATACATGTATATCAAAATGTTTCAAGGCCTTGACAATATTTTCAAACCCAGAAAAATATGGTAAACATAACACATTCTTTGAGTGAATTTTCTCACTGCATATAATATTATAATACGTACACGGTGCTTTGCAACGGCATACTTCCAAAAAACTCAGTGGATAATAAAGCTTGAGAATAATACAATAAATATTCTTAAACTCTTCATCTAAGAATTTTGGACTAACAACCCGAAGAGCTCTTAGATACATAGAGGAGAAAATAAATTGGTTTACATTGTACTTATGCCCTGAAAAATAATGAACATAAGATAAATTATTCGTAGGCTTTCTGTAAACACTAAACTTAAGTGAACAATCTTCCCTGTGATTAGGGACTCTATTTTTTCCTCTATGTAACTAAGAGTTCTTAGATACATAGAAACAGAGATACTTAGATACAAAGTCATAATATGTTATTAATATCCACGTATGGGCCTATTGGCCCAAACGATGCAGCTCGTATTAATATCCACCGAATCCCATTCATATATTTGTCACTGTACTTCACTTCACCTCTCTCCTGCCTATATATGTCCAACTCAACTAACTTGTAACTCATCCTTCTGAAGATGTATTATTAAATACGAAAGTACTTAAGGAAATTCCTGTTTCAATTCTTCCTTCATGGTCTGACACTGTCACATGTAATTATATATAAGCCAAAATCTTATAATTGAGCATAGCACACATTTTACCTTTCACCCAACAGGTGGTGGAGGAAAGTCATGGTGCTCAACGGAGAGAAAATCTCATTAGAATTATTGTTTCTCACGAAAGATGCAGATGAGAATGTTACAGATGAGAATGTTACAGATGAGAATGTTACAGGTGACAGTGTTACAAGTTAGAATATTTCAGATGTGAATGTCTCAAGTCAGAATGTTACAAATGAGAATGTTACAGATCAGAGAGTTACAGGTGACAATATTACAGGTGAGAGTGTTACAGGTGAGAATGTTAAAGGTGAGAATATTACAGATGAGAATATTACAGATGAGAATGTTACAGATGAGAATGTTACAGATGATAATGTTACAGATGAGAATGTTACAGGTCAGAGTATTACAGATGAAAATGTTACAGATGAGAGTATTACAGATGAGAATGTTACAGGTGAGAATGTTAGAGATGAGAATGTTACAGATGAGAATGTTACAGATGAGAATGTTACAGATGAGAATGTTACAGATGAGAATGTTACAGATGAGAATGTTACAGGTGAGAATGTTACAGATGAGAATGTTACAGATGAGAATGTTACAGATGAGAATGTTACAGATGAGAATGATACAGGTGAGACTGTTACAGATGAGAATGTTACAGGTGAGAATGTTACAGGTGATAATGTTACAGATGAGAATGTTACAGATGAGAATGTTACAAGTGAGACTGTTGCAGATGAGAATGTTTCTGATGAGAATGTTAATGGTGAGAATGTTACATATGAGAATGTTACAGGTGAGAATGTTGCAGATGAGAATGTTTCTGATGAGAATGTTACAGATGAGAATGTTACAGGTGAAAATGTTAGAGATGAGAATGTTACAATTGAGAATGTTGCAGATAAGAATGTTACAGGTGAGAATGTTGCAGATGAGAATGTTACAGGTGAGAATGTTACAGGTGAGAATGTTACATGTGAGAATGTTGCAGATGAGAATGTTACAGGTGAGAATGTTACAGGTGAGAATGTTACATGTGAGAATGTTGCAGGTGAGAATGTTACAGATAGAATGTTACAGGTGAGAATGTTACATGTGAGAATGTTACAGGTGAGAATAGAATGTTGCAGGTGAGAATGTTGCAGGTGAGAATGTTGCAGGTGAGAATGTTACATGTGAGAATGTTACAGGTGAGAATGTTGCAGGTGAGAATGTTACATGTGAGAATGTTACAGGTGAGAATGTTGCAGGTGAGAATGTTACAGGTGAGAATGTTGCAGGTGAGAATGTTGCAGGTGAGAATGTTGCAGATGAGAATGTTACAGGTGAGAATGTTACAGGTGAGAATGTTACATGTGAGAATGTTGCAGGTGAGAATGTTACAGATGAGAATATTGTAGGTGAGAATGTTACAGGTAAGAATGTTACAGATGAGTATGTTACAGGAGAGAATAATACATATGAGAATGTTATATATGAGAATGTTGAAAGTGATAATGTTAGATGTGAGAATGTTACAGATGAGAATCTTACATGTGAAAATGTTAAAGATGAGAATGTTACAGATGAGAATATTTCAGATGAGAATGTTACATGTGAGAATGTTACAGATGAAGGGGCTGCCCTTCGCGAGAGCAAAATCATAATAGGCTTATAATGACAAGATAGTTTCTGTAAATACAAAATTCAAAGTTGACAGACAAAATATGAACTGTAAAGATAATATAGGCACCATTAATATGCAATAGTTTGTAAAGGCAAAACGAGGTTCTGTAAATGACATAATAGGATCTTAAAGACAAAATATATTCTCTCTATTCAAAATAGGTACTGTAATGAAAAATAGGTACTTCTAAGACAAGCTAGGAAGTTTAAAGATAAATAGGTCAAGTTAGATGCAAAGTTGGTGAATAAGCTTGAAGAAAATGGTGAAAGCTTGGAAAGAGAGATGATTGATTGGCTGAGGTTGTAGTCGACGGAGCAGCGTCAGTGGGGGGTGGGGGGGACCGGCAGCCAGCCGCCAGGAACCGTGGAACCATGGAACAATGGTTGACTGATATGTTATCTTTATTAATGACACTTATTGTGTCTTTAGTCATCGTTGAGAACACATTAGTCTATGTTGTGCAACTTGTCGCAACAACCAGAGATGAAGCTAAAATGGCAGAGAAAATCTTTTCTTTCTACTCAGTGAAACCTCACTCCTCTGTCCTCACCTCCTCTGTCACCTCTCTTCTTCATCCACACAATCCAGAAAACATTCAGGAATCTACTTCCTTCTTTTCCATTATTTCTCATTCACATCTGTTTCCCAGACAAGCTGGCTCCTGCTGAGAAAGCCACTATTCCCTAACCGACACCCTCCTCGCTCTCTGTCTCTTTCCTCACAATCGCTTCCTCTTAAATCGGCCCAGACCCTTTCCGCGCTCAGCGCTCACACTCACAATCCTTCCACACACGCCACTCTGCTTCTCTGTTATGTTTATATACCACACTTGTGAAACCCTTTCCCGGTACACAGCACCAACCCTCTTCCCTGCGCCTCCCATACACCCTGATCTTTCCTTCCCTTCTCCTTCTTCTTCTCTTCACACTACCTAAGCCAATCACCCCATTCTCTTGCCACCCTTTGTCACCTTCGGTGTGTCTCCATATATCTCTGCCCTCATCGACCGGCTCCTCCCACTTGCTCCACTCTTAATTAATTAATTTAACGATGAACGACGTCCTCTTCATCCTCGCCTATTCCCTCACCGCAGTCCCCAACCTCACGTTCGCTCACCTGTGGCAGGAAAAAACGTGCTTTTTTGAAAAACAGTGCCAACTGTTGGACGTACGAGCAACACACACTGTAACCTCCGAAAGTTCTTCACCGATTGCTTTGAAATTTTCACACAACGGTGCATTCGAATAGGCGCATCTTTCTATATAGCTACTATAGAGATGCCACCCCTGTGACAGGTAAAAACATGCGTTTTTGAAAAACAGCGCCATCTGTTGCACATAATAGCAACATGCATGCTATACTAAATAGGTCACGAATTCCATTTCAATGTTTCCGATTGTATTGACAAATTTTATTTTCATAGGTTTCGATTTATTTTATTTTTTATTGAACTATTTTGTGTGACATTGTGTCGGAATTGAGAAATGTTTACCATACCGTTCATTTCGTAGGTATAAGTATAGATGTCACACCTGTGACAGGTAAAACTATGTTTTTCTTGAAAAACAGCGCCATCTGTTGCATGTAAGAGCAACACACATGCTATACTAAATATGTTACAATTCCATTTCAATGTTTCTGGTTACTCTGATCAATTGAATTTTCATAGACTTTGATTTATTTTCATTTTGATTTAATTATTTTGTGTGAATTATGTTGGAATTGAGCTGTGTTGTTTACCATATCATTCATTTCGTGAGTATAGTTTATTTTTCTATTTTTTTCATATTTTCATTTAATTTTTTAACTGTTTTTCTTATATTTCAGTGATGGGAACATCAGGTCACTTGATGTTCCCAATTTTCTGATGGGAACATCATACCATTTGGGAAGTCGACGAAGAACTCTGTAGGGTAAGGCAGGACCTAGTCAACAACGGCTTCTCCAACGGTTTCGTGGAAGACATCATAAGAAGGAAAGTGAAACGCCATGCAACCTCTGAAGAGACAACTAACACAACACCTATACCCCCTATTAGACTATTTTACAGGAACTTCTTTTCCACAGCCCATAAAACGGAGGAAAGGGTCCTGAAAGATATTGTCAGTAGAAAAGTTATCCCTACAGACAAAAATCAGAAGATACAACTGACGATTTACTATAAAACCAGAAAAACGGCCAGCCTACTCATGAGAAACTCTCCAGACACAAAGCAGAACGCTTTAAAAGAGACCAACGTCGTCTATGCCTTCAAATGCCCTCTTGGGGACTATAAGCCTCAAAAAAACAATATATAGGCAAGCCAACAACATCTCTTTCCAAGCGTTTAACGATGCATAAGCAACAGGGCTCCATTAAGGAACATATAATCTCTTCCCACAAACAAACCATCACCAGAGAAATCTTACCAAACAACACAGAAATCATCGATAGATACAGCGATAGCAGACGGCTTGACGTCTGCGAGGCACTACACATCAAGAAGTCAACACCAGCAATCAACAGCCAATTAATGAACAAGTATATTCTACTCACTTCAAGACTCCGCTCCAATATAGAAGCATCAAGAAATATGGACAAATAGGCTTTCTACAATTACTTCCATTCAATACCCATTGTTTCGTGATCTGTCTTGTGTTTGAATTTAATACCCATTCAATACCCATTGGTGAAAGTTTGTTTTCACCTCATCCACCTCACCCAAATGTAGATATAAACTCGAAAATGTGTAAGCTCTATTCAGTTTCAGTTGTGTATTTGTAAACTAAAGTCTTTGAAAATGTAATAAGTTTTATGAAACGCGCTCAAGTGTCGCGTCAGACTAGAAATAAAAATAAATTTTGGAGAATTGATCTTTGAATTACCATCAACAGTGAAAAGAAATGTAAGAAAGATAGAGAAAATTCGTGTTAGAATTATTAATCTTACTTTTTCGGTCATATTTAATAATAATATATATATATATATATATATATATATATATATATATATATATATATATATATATATATATATATATATATATATATATATATATATATATATCACGAAAATAAACACGTGATTAAGAATGTGACAATGTCAGACCACGGAGGAAAAATGAAACAGGAAATTTCCTTAAGTACTTTCGTATATTAAATACATTTTCAGAAGGTCATTTTACAGATCGAGTGATGGGTATAAATAGGCAGGAAGGAGTGGTGAAGTAAGGTGAGGTACAATACTTGGACAACGCAGACGGCCCATTGGCCCATCAGATGCACCCAATTGGCACATCCGATGTAGCCCAATGGCCCATCTGATACAGCAGACATACAAGCATAATATATAGGTAATTATAACATAAAGAAGTAAATATATACAATAAATTAGTGAGACAAATGTTTTTCAATGATTCTACTTAAAACGCCCTTTAGCTGATCTATTAGAAATGAATCTAAGTTATATAGACCACTGCTAATATTCAAATTACTTTCTTTGGTGATCTGTATCAAAGCAGATTCAATTATGTTTCTGTTATAGGTGCTTTTACAATTTGTTATTGAAGAAGCACTCTCCCAATCAATTTGATGAGCTTTTTCTGACAAATGCACAAACAAAGCATTAGACAATTGGCCATGTCTTACAGAGTATTTATGTTGCGATATTCTACATTTTAAATCTTTAGATGTTTGCCCGACATAGAACTTGTTACATTCCTTACAAGGTATTTTATAAATGACGCAATTATCACTACGAGGGCTGTTCCTTACTAATAGCTTACCAACAGTGTTTTCGTAGCTAAACATTACATCTATATTAAAAAGTTTCAAGGCCTTGACAATATTCTCAAACCCAGAGAAATATGGTAAACATAACACATTCTTTGGGCGAATCCTTTCACTGCATACATTATTATAATATGTACGACGAGCTTTGTTACGACAAACTTCCAAAAAATTCAGTGGGTAACAAAGCTTAAGACCAATCGAATCAATATTCTTAAATTCTTCATCTAAGAATTCTGGACTCACAACACGAAGAGCTCTTAGATACATTGAAGAAAAAATTGACTTTTTTACATTGTATTTATGCCCTGAAAAATAATGAACATAAGATAAATTGTTCGTAGGTTTTCTGTAAACACTAAACTTTAATGAAGAGTTTTCCCTATGAATAAGCACATCTAAGAATGGCAAACATTTATCAATTTTAGTCTCCATAGTAAATTTTATGGAGGTGACTTGGTCATTAAGTTTGGCTACAAATTCGTCTGTGTTTACATCTGAAGGCCAAATACACAAGATATATAGATACATATATATATATATATATATATATATATATATATATATATATATATATATATATATATATATATATATATATATATATATATATATATATATACATGTTTCATTGAATATGACCGCATATTCTGTATTTATTATTTTCTGGTTTAGGGCTTCTATCCCTCTAACTATTTTCTTAGCATCAGGGCTTAGTTGAAATAGGAGTTCTCTAAAACTCATTTTCGTACTTTTAAGGTGAAGAAAAGAAGTGATTTACTATAGAGTGTATTACACTTATTTATACAATTTGCACAACGTTTCGAACCTCCATGGTTCATTCTCAAGTGAGCAGATCTTACAATGCTGGTTGATTTTATACCCGCACTGGGTCAGGTGATAATACAATAAATATGAAAACATGGGGGGATACATAAGGGATAAATGTGAGGTGAAACATAGAGGTAACTGCAGAAGGCTTATTGGCCCATACGAGGCAGCTCCTATCTAAACACAAAGATTAATCCAGTGTAATTGGCCTGTTATGTTGGACATTGTCTTCTGTGTTGGCATCGTTATGTTCTGGTCTTGTCCTTACTCTCATGGTGGGTAGAGTAAATAGTTCCGTGATTTGGGTGTTCATGGTAGGTTGTTCTATTCTTACGTGAATTGCCTCAAGAATTTGTAATCTTCTTGCATCTTGGGATTTGTCTATTATGCAGG